ACACACAGTTTGTAGCTGTGCGGCTCTGCGAGCCCTAGTGGGGACAGTCCTAACCTACCTCTGATGTGGGAATACACTGACTGAAGCACAGTGCGTTATTCATACTACTCTGCTGGGCACAGCTTTCCTTTTCTCTAGGTGAGCTGGAGGAGGCAGCTCCCTTTCCACTTCAAGTTTGGCGTCAGAGTTCCATTTTGGCTCTCTTTCCACTATGAACCTCCATTCATATGCTTGTCATTACCATCCACACAGTTCGTTTATAAAATTAAATTAAAGTAGTAAACAAAATACCAGATACTCCTCCTAAAGCTCCATCTATAAATATCTCCCCTGCCTACTCATGCTGTCTGATTAAGGGGCAGTAAGCAGTTATTTAGAGAACCTAAACCAGGTCAGATTCCATTAAGATAGGCACTTTTTTGAAAATGGGGATATTTGATTCAGCTTCCTGTTTCATAGGTAAAAAGCCCAGCTCTCAGAATGCACACTGATGAAGCTGAAGCCCCCTACTTTGACATTTTCAGAATTAAAAGGTCAGATTTTTCATTCTGACATATTTTTTTATGCAAAATGAACTAACAGAACCTACCCAAAGCAAATTTTGAAATACTTGCCCCTTATAGAAGAATGTGGGTTTATTCCTATTTGGATTTAACTTGAATTTTTTTGATCTCTCAGACTAGCTGAGAGACACTATGGTTTTAGCTGTTGGTTCCTTGGAACAGCGACGACATTTTTGTTTTATTTGATTTGTTGTGAAAGTACTAAGTTTACCTATGTACCAAGTAAACATGAAAAAATAAACAGTACCTTTGCAGCAGTGGCTAGCTATGTTTTGAGCAAATCCAGTTATTTTATGAAAAAACTTAATATCCTCCTGTCAGCATTCTAGAAAATCTGGGTAGACTTCCCTTTGATTTCCAGAAATCTAGGCATGGATCTGACTCCAGTCCTAATCCACAGTGTGATCAGATACTCTTTGTCATCATAATGCCTCAGTTTTTATTTTGTGACACAAGCACTCTGGCCCATGTTATAGGATGAGGGCCAACAAATAAAATGTGGCTTTGAATTAGTCCCTCCGTGCATGAAGCCACCAGCAGCTATAAGGCTCACCTATACTGCGCAGCGGGGAGTGGTGCGGTACCATCTGGCTTCACCCACAGAGATCCCCAGACGAGGCAGTGCGGAGGAAAGGCACGAAGCTGGTTGCAATGTCTTCCTCTAATGCAGTGGTGCGTAAAAGGTCATGGGTCTTGTCAGTGCAGGAGAGCTCTTTACACAGGAGGCAGCTCCTGGTTCAGACCATTACAGCTTTACATGTAGACTTCTGGGACTCTTCTGACTTCTTCCTGCTTTTCCTCTAGGAACTTCTCCCGTGCTGTGTATTGTGAATAAGAAGAAATGGTTTTACTGACTTCAAAAGTTTATATAGTCATTTAGGTGATTGAAACTGGACATGTATCACAAACTACATAAGACTACCCAGCTAAAAAAATGAACCACACAAATTACACTAGTGTACACATAATGTGTGCACGCATGAAATATTTGGTTTTGTAATTGCTGTTTGATATTGTCTGAGAGTATGCTAGGAGAATGCTCATCTGCACTTGAACAAAAAAGTCGAGGCATAGCATTCAACAGCATTTGCCTCATTCTGTAGATGGAAAGATTGTAGCAACCTTGAGAATATTTGCATTGAGCAGGTGAAAAGCGTGTGGTTCTGACTTTGCTCTTTGCTGCTTAGGTTTGGAATTTTTTGTTTAGACTGTTTATCTTACAGTATGTACATCAATTTTAGGAAGTTCAGCTTGCATGTTGCAATCCTAATTTGAATTTGGAACCTTAGTGCTGCATTTATGAAGTCTTTCTGAGCTGATGGGTTGGTAATAGCTGTGCATGTTGGTATGTTAGAGAGGCCGAGGTCAATTGTATGAGGTCCTGCTGGGGCCTGCACTTCGATCACAACAACCCCATGCAATGCTACAGGCTTGGGGAGGAGTGGCTGGAGAGCTGCCCAGTGGAAAAGGACCTTGGGGTGCGGGTTCACAGCTGGCTGACCATGAGCCAGCAGCGTGCCCAGGTGGCCAAGAAGGCCAGTGGCATCCTGTCTTGGATCAGGAATAGCGTGGCCAGCAGGAGCAGGGAGGTGATGGTGCCCCTGTTCTGGACACTGGTGAGACCACACCTGGAGTACTGTGTTCAGTTCTGGGCCCCTCACTACAAGAAGGACATTGAGGGGCTGAAGCGTGTCCAGAGAA